TAACTATGTATATAATATTAAATGCGAGTGGTAAATCATTAGAGATATACAGGTACAATCACTAAAAATGACTAAACTTGAAGAACGACATGTTGCTGACAACGCTTGCACGCTTTAGAATGTATGATGCTTTTCTAATAAGGATGTACATACCTTCATTTTTAACTTTTTTTATTTAGTGATCCCATGAGTTCATCAAGCAATGTTTCTACCTGCCACTTCTTGGAGACGAGATAGATGCACAAATAATGGGATCGCTCACGTAGTTGTTAAGCCCGATACACGCATTCCGATAGCGAAAGCGTTTTAAATGCATGATGTATCTCTAACAAGAGAGTAATTACCTTCATTCTAACCTTGAAGAACGACATGTTGTTGACAACGCTTGCACGCTTATAAATGAATGATGCCTCACTAACAATGGGGTACTTAATTTCTATTTTTATATTTTATATTTAGTGATCCCACGAGTTCATCTAGCAATGTTTCGACACGTTACTTCTTGAAGAAGAGATAGATACACAAATAATGGGATTACTCACGTAATGGTTAAGCCCGATACACGCATTCTGATAGCGAAAGCGCGTGGAGCTTTAAGTCGTCTACTTGCTACACCCAAATTGCCACAGTTTTGAATACACGACACATACTTATTCAGTACGTGGCAAACAGTTCGTTGACCGCACTATCGTCTGTTAGACAATCACAACTCATCAATTATGAAAAACAGAAATATTATCACAGTTCAGTACTCCGAGCTGTGTTATGTAATCAGTCTTATGACACCTCATCAGACCAATAACTTCCGCAATATATGGCGGTAAGATGAGCATATATAATCTTCAAGAGAGAAAACAATATAGCCATTTGTTGCATATTTCGTATGGCAACAAGCTATGAGTCCATATAATCTACCACCATCTGTATTGAGCGATACATCAGCACCACATCAAAGACCCTTTACGGAACTGCAAGATACTACAACCCCCACGCCGGATCGACGCACAACAACGTAGCTATACACCACATCACATAATCTACCTCACACGAAATCAAACCGTATCGCACGTGGTACAAGCAGCTCACCAGCCCTAAACTTTATCATATACAATTTATATTCTGGTGACTCACGGGTCACCAAGAATGAGCTTGTAGTTGATACTGGTGCTAGCATGCATGTAGTTGTTCACCCCTGGGCGTCATGTGAAGTGAAATCTTCAAATAAGCGATTGACCGGCGTCGGTAACACGCAAATATATACGGAAGGCGAGTGTGAATTATTGGGGTGCCCAAACACTGGACTTGCATTACTGATACCGAATGCTGGTGTTAACCTTCTATCGGTGAGACAATTGTTCTTGAAAGGGTGGAAGGCTTCATTGTCACTCGACTATTGCATACTTCGTAACCCAAATGGGGTAAGGGTTGAAGCAAACGTACGACATGGCTTGTACATCGTCTCCTTGTTAGACTTGATGGAAAGTGATCGGATTTCGATACAAATAGAGCTTTTGTTGCAGCAGACAGTATCAAAGATAGTATGAAGATGTGGCATCACAGACTTGGCCACATTAGTCTTCAGTTGATGTGTGAAACACTAACCTGTGCTGGTATGGAGAAGGACACGAAAGGTTGGACGGATAAGCTTCCATTTTGCAAAGCGTGTGCTGAAGGAAAGCTGACTCGATCACGGATATCACGAAAGTCGCGAGCGAAGAAGCAAGCGAAGAAGAAAGTGACAGTATTACTTTACAGATTCCAGGCTCGAAACTCTTTGTCGACATATTCGAGATGTCCAAGACGCCATCCTTAAACGGCAAGCGGTATGGTCTTCACGTTTTGGACGATGTGACAGATAAGAACTGGTGCTTAGGGTTAAAACATACACCTGACGCAATCACGGCGATACGTACCTTGTTGGATACGGAATTCGCAATACTCAGAAGATTTCCTGAACGTGCACAGTGATCGTGGCGGTGAGTTTGTGAACGAGACTTGGAAATATATGCTGGCGACTCGGGGCTTCGTACAAAATCTTACAGGTGCTCCGACCTCTGAACATAACGAACGATGTGAACGGGCCTATCTACTTGCGCAAGCTGGACTGTATGAAGAGTTTTGGCCGGAAGCGGTAATATATACAACATGGTTGATCAACAGTATGCCTCAGAAAGATAGATCAGCATCGCGCGAAGAACTTTGGACTGGTATCAACCCAACTCTGACCCACGCCGTACTATTCGGCGCTAAGGTTTACTTTCTGACGGGTGATAAAGGAAAGAAGTTATCCAAAAAGGCTTAAGCGGGTATTCTTCTCGGAACCAGCTTGAATACTGTTGGTGGAAGTATGCATATATACAATACGAAGACGAAGCGCGTCGTAACATGCGAGATTACCGCGTTGATCCAACTGTGGCGCGTAACACGCGTTCAGCAAAGTCGGCGACGCCTGGTGTTGGGGATTCCGGTTCAGACAGCGATGTGTATTTCTCAAGTGCTGAGGAGGATATGATAAAGGAAGATTGAGAGCGTAATGAACCGATCACAGATGATGAATCAGAGGATGATGCAATGGGGTCAGAGACGGAAGATGAAGCAGAGATTGTTGCTGAAGCAGATACAAATGCTACAGCAGGCGGTGCAACGGGAGGCGATCATACAAAACCCAGTTCAGCAAAACACTGGATCAGATGATGATGACAGTGATGGTGGGAACGTGTCCTGTCCTGGCGATTATCCCGGATATACAAGAATGA